TCAACCAGCCAACTTTTCCGGCTTCTTGGTCTGGACTTAAGAGTTTGACAAACGTTGAGATTGATGCTGTTCATGGAGAATTCCCAGACTACATAGGAAACAGTTGGACCAAAATTGAGAATTTGCTAGTCGTGAATGGACAATTAAAAGGAAATTTTCCGAGTTCTCTCTGTAGGCTCAGAAAAATCCAAAACCTGTTCCTATATAATAATTCTTTTTCTGGCAATTTACCAGATTGCATCTGCGAGCTACCAAAATCTTTAGTAGCTTTAGAGCTATCTGATAACCAATTCACTGGGCCGATTCCAAAATGCATTGGAAAGCTATCGAATCTAACAAACTTATATTTGTCAAGGAACGAGCTATCTGGAAATCTTCCATTATCAATGGGCAACTTGACGCATTTGGAGATTTTGGACGTAAGCGGTAATGGGCTGTATGGATCAGTACCATCAACTCTTAATGACCTGGCTGGATACACAGTACAGCTTAGTCTGTGCTACAATAAACTCTCATCTATTGACAATGGATTGGAGAAACTTTTTGATTTCGTAAAAGACTATAGCTGCCTCTTATACAATAATCCTTGGAATTGTCCCCTGCCATCTTTTGTACCTAAGGAATGTACCGCTACTTGTGGTCAATGTAATTCCGGAGAGAACCATAAGTCTTGTACTAAGTGTATAGGAAGTGATGGGTGTGGCTGGTGTAACGAAGGAGGGAATTGTCTCCCTGGGTCGTCCACTACAGGGCCTGATGATGAATATAAGTGTAATTCAACTGATTGGACTTTTGGCTCTAATGCACAATGTCCAAGTCAACAAAAACTTTAAGGATTATTAGCATTATTGTTATTAATCATTGCTGCTTTGCTGTTGTATGTATTTTAGTCATTATCTATAATTGTTATTTTTCTGTTTGCTTTTTTGCTGAAATCATTTCATTCATTCATTGTAAATGTGACCTTTCTAAAATAAGAAGTGTAATTTTTTCAATAACATTTTCTGATACATATTGATGTCCTTATGCTATGTAGAAAGTTTGAGCTGATTCTGACATTAATTTTTCAAGTTATGGCCATTTTTTAAAATGGCAGATTTTTGAAAAGTACCCAAGGCTATAGCCCATGGTTTTTTCTGAAAAAATTAATGGCTCCAAAATCACCCCAAATTTTTATTACATTTTCTGATACATATTGATGTTCTTATGCTATGTAGAAAGTTTGAGCTGATTCCAACTTAATATTTTCAAGTCACAGTCATTTTAAGAAAAAGGCCAATTCTTGAAGAATACCCAAGGCTATAGCCCATGGTTTTTTCCAAAAAATGGCTCCAAAATCACCACAAATTTTTATTACATTTTCTGATACATATTGATGTCCTTATGCTATGTAGAAAGTTTGAGCTGATTCTGAGTTCAATTTTTTGAGCTATGGTCGTTTTTCAAAAATGGCCAATTTTTGAAAAATACCCAAGGCTATAGCTCATGGTTTTTTCAAAAAATGGCTCCAAAATCACCTGACTTAAATTTTTCAAGTTATGGCCATTTAAAAAATACCTGAGCTTGATACTGAATACAGTTATTAGCATTTTCAGAAAAAAATTATTAAAAAGTATATAGTGCAATTTTGTATGTCAAACTATCAATATATCATTACATAGAACACTTGCCTGTGCATAGTAAGGAATGAATGCTCCAAGTACAGCAGCTCCTTATCTTTGTGCCTCTCTTCACTAGCCAGCATTTCAGAGTAGACTATGGTAGCCATTTTCTTTTTGATTTTGCTTGAGGCATCGCTTGATTTTCCTCCATCAATCATAGCAAAGAGCCCATCACTTTCTCTTTTGTCATTTAAGGATGGAAATTTTATCTATTATAATAATAAAATCACACATTTAATAACCTCAAGTTCATTAAAAATCCATGCTTTTTTTATAATTAACAACATCACTAATTTAAACATGACTTCAGCAAAAATAGTATAGCATTTAAAAAAATTTTATTCTCAAAAAATAGATACATTATATTATTTACTATAATATAGCTATAATCTACAGCAATTATGTATGTGTACATAATTGCTATACATAATTGCTGTACATAATTGCAGCAATCATAGCCAATCAAAAACATGTACATGTAGGCGTGATCAAATTATTAACAAAAAGGTGTGGTATTAATAACTAGTGATGGGCAATTCCAGAAATTTGCATTCGATTCCGATTCTGAATTCTTTTGAGACTGGAATCGATGGAATCAAATACCGATTCCGAGTATTACATCTGCGCATGCGCAAAGCCACGTGGTATCAATTACAGCAATAAAAATGCAATAAGTATACAGTCGGGCAGCCAAGCAACCGGAAGTCCATATAAATTGTGTATAAACCTATTTCTCGTTCATTGAGCAACTGCGTGGGTGGTAGCATACATAGATACATGAAAACTTGGATAGAATCAGAGAACTATCACAGCAATGAACTTGCCACAATGAGAGATAAAGTGCTTGATCAATAGAGCACATCATTTATGAAAACAGCAAAGCTATGCTGTTTTATGGGGAACTTACAGCTAATTTTGAACACAATAATTCTATTCCTTAGAAAAATTTTCCCTCACAAGGAATACTTGTAAGACAACAATTACCTTGTAAAGACACCTTTTAAGTACCACATACCAAAATTTCATGATTGCACTCCAAAGAATACTGAAGTTACAATTTTTTTATTGTTAAGTATAATTAAATTAATTAAAATTTATTATAAAAATTGTAATAAATCATGATATCTTTATCCAGGAAGAAAATAATTGGGATCAAAGTCTATATCCTCACAATAACCTTCATCTATAATGCCAAAATAGGCAACCAGATACTTAACACAGTTCATGTGAGTACAAATATGAACGAAAATTGCGGCTCTCATGAAATCTCAAGATATCTTCCAAATACAGATATAAAGAAAGTTGAAAAACACTGCAATAGCTACAATTTACATATATATCAAGAATTATAGGCTATACTCATGGATACAATAATGCTAAACACACACAAACACATAGCTAGGCTACTTGCTGGGACCTTTAATACCTTAGAAAAATTTTCCCTTTTCTCCTACAGCAATGAAACTTTTGCAGAATAACAGGCATATATAATACTAATAAGCTACCTTGTAACTGTGATTGCATTCACTCTATTTTACAAGTTATAGAATTTAATATGATTTTTGTGTCAGCCAT